CCATGGGGCGGCCGAAAGTTTTTAGCATGTGGGATTTTTAGGGAGCTTCTAGATTTTCTTGGTGTGCAAGCCAAGCAATAGTTATTTGGTAGCTTTAGGATTTTATTGCTTTCTAGTGATAGGATTTCTATTATTGCAAGATTTAGGAGATCTAGTAGATTTAGGCTTAGATTTATTTTGCAACTATAAATACTCCATGTACCTCATCATTATTTTATGTCTGGAATGAAGTATTGAATTGGTGAGCCAATCTTGAGGGGGAACTGATGTTCTTAACGTGTGATAAACAAGGCCATTAGTGCGTGTTTACATACAGTGTCGGAAAGAAGGCCATTAGTGCGTCTTCAAGTCACGGTATCTAGGAGAAGGTCGTAGTGCGTCTGTTAGATACACCTATCGGGGATAAACGAAGGCCGCAGTGCGCCGTTTATTCGCAACCATCGTATAGACAGAAAGTCGATCCGTCATCAATGCGCCCGTGCGCGTGCGCTGCACCCGTTAGCCACCCGACTCGCGTGCCATCCATTTCTTCGAGCCACCTGGTGCTTTGGCCATCCCCACCAGGTTTCACTCCTTCGATAAACATCCCGATACCTCTGATGACGCGTCCATTTGCGACGTTGTCTTCCTTGGCCTAAATGCGTTCCGTGCTCGGGCTTGGTAGGGTCGGGGTCCACTTCTGCATCATTCCCGCCCCCTTTAAGCACATCCTTGTCCTCAAGGATCGAGGCTAACTCCAAACTCCTCATCTCGGCATCTCGATTTATTCCTTTCGGTTCGGTTTTTAGCATGATGAGTCGGCTTCCCGAGTAGAACTCCATTATGCCTTTCTTGTAATTTGTAGTGACTTCTCCAAGTCCTTCAAGCCATTGAATTCCAAGAACTATCTTAGGCCCCACAAAAGGTAGTGCATAGAGGTCGGCTTTGATGATCTCACCTTGCAGGTTGATGGGCGCTTCCCGATAATATTCGTGACATCTTAGCCGCTCTCCATTGGCAACCCTTACATCGAACGGTTCCACCTTTGTTGCCTTGAGCTTTAAGTCCTTAGGTACTTTGTCGCAAATGAAGTTATGCGATGAGCCGGTGTCGACTAGTACCTCGATTGGCCGTTCCTTGATCATGGCGGGCAGTCGGATTGTTCTTGGTCCCTGTAGGCCTGCCATTGCATTAACTGAGATCTCTAAATCTTTGTTCACTTGTTGCGCCGGTTGGTCCTCATAGGCCTCTTCCTCGTCCTCTTCAATGACGTCGATCAGAAAAAATTGTTTACATTGATGGCCTGGGGTGAACCTTTCTT